ACATGCACCTCAAATCAATCAAATCAAAGTCCCCTGAACCTTTGTCATGGCAAAAAAACATCTCAATCATTTTTTTATGTTCCAAACAAATGCATTTTTTGGCCCTTTGGGATATGAAAACCATAAAATATCCTAATTGGATTATTAGGAATTCCGGCCCAGGAAAACATGTCCACAGAATTTCGATATAAAGCTTAAAAAGTAAGTAAAAATCCAACTCAAATTAAAATTTTAAGGCAAACAGTTCAACGTACTTATTAACTGATACTTTTCGTTACGAATTAATATAAAATAGTTATTTCTACTCATGATCTCAACACAGATACACAACGTACTCACCAAGTCCTATTTAATTAATTATCTCCTCATATTATTCACAAGTGAAACTACAATCACTTTATTTCGTATCGTAAGTTTGGTTTTGGACATATATCAAATAAGAGTGATGAGGAGGGGTATTATTAGGTTAGTTTCATTGGAATCGAATATTCTGAGCTAGCAGCAAATTTGGAAGACAGACAAAAGGGATATTCACAAGTATGATATGAAGGAATATGGAGACACCTGTCTCGAGGAGAATCTTTTCTTCTTCTTTTTTTTAACCATGCAAATAACATCCAAGAGACGTACAATAATAAAGATGTGAGAAAGAGAATGAATTAAAATAACGATAATAATTTTTTATATAAAAAAAATTGATTAAAGAAAAAGGATAGGTTACAAAAAAATATATATATATGAAAGAAAGAAGTACAGAATGACATGCAGATATAGAGAGGAGGGGAAAAAGAAAGAAAAGCAAAGAGAAAAAGAAGGGGAATAGAGAGAATCTGTACAAAAGGCGTGGGTTGGAGTCTTGTACAAGAAGACGACTGGGATTTTTTCATATATTTTTTGTTTTGTTTTGATTTTTATATATGATTAGAAAGTGACCATCCCTTCATCATCATCATCATCATCTTTGACAGCCTTTTCTTTCCTCGTTTCTCTTTTTCACTGCGCCAGGGAATTCGATGCACATTATCTTGGCTTGGATGCAGCTTCTTTCTTTACTTTCTTTGCAAAAAATTTTAATCCTCAATATTTGATTAATTACCTGGCTCCATCAAGGTTTGTTACTTGGATTCGTGAGTTATTACGAATATAATATACTCTCTCCGTCCCATAATTATTGTCTAGTTTTTGGATTTATTTCTACTTAAAATTGTACTAAAAGTGAAATTTCAAACTGGATAATAATTTTGAGACAGAGAGAATATATACTATAGAGTTGTCTCGAATGTATTAGACAAGGTAATTTTATTGTGGATTATATAACATCAGGATAACAGAGAGTTCTAAAATGAGGTTCTCGGAATTGCAAGAACCATGACCATATTATTATTATAGTTGTACTTGGGATAGTTAACTTATCCAATAAATATAATAAATAAGTTACCTCCTCTTTTTTATGAAGAAAAGAACAATTGAACAAAAGACCAATAACTACTTGTGTATAGTATATTTGCCAATATGGTTTTTTTTATTTTTTTGGTGTTCGTTTCCAACTCTCTAAAGGCTGTTCTTGTATCATTTTGGGTACTACAGAACTTATCCTCAACAGCAGGACCAACTACCATTAGCTGCTTAATTATGGAAATTGTATGTAATACATAGAGAATTTACCCCAAATGTTACTTGCAGAACTCAAAGACCAGCTCAACCTCCCAAGAATTTTGCCTTAGGCAAACATATATTTTACTCTTTCCGTCCCAAAAATAATTTTGTGAATAAGGAAATGTTCTTGACTTAATTTCTATTGTTTGATTTATGCCAGGATGAATGAAAAAAAGGAAACGATAAAATGATCAAAACAATGCTATATGGAGGGAAACAATACAGTTAGCACTTTTTTGTTGGGTAATTAAGAGGGTTTTCAAGAAAAATAGCTACCTCGAAAATGAATTTTGTCCATTCAAAAGTTAGTTAATTTCTGCTAACGACTTGATGGTATAACAAATGTAACAATTATTTTAAAAGAGAAGGTTGTGCAGTAAAATTTAAGTTGCAGAAGAGTTATATATTCTATTTTTTACGTTCTAAAATGATTATTTTATTTGTTATATTAAAATTCAATAGTTATTATTTTAAAACTCTACCGCATATATCTTTTTCGTAGTGGCATTTCTTAAGGCCAACGCAGATCCAAGGCGCCTCATTCAAGCATTCAACCCCTCAACATAATTCTAAAAGTTTTTATACGTTTATGCCTTTGTATATACTTGTACTACTGCTACTAGTATTTCACACACTTTTGCCCGAAGGAACCAACTTAAAATTTTCTTTGGGATATGCAAATATATGTTAACTTTAATGGTATATTTGCAAATTAAATACAGCCTTACCATGTGGATCCTGACCCAGATCCGAACTTTCTCGGGCTTCGAACCCTCTAATTAAGTTAAAGGGTTAATTACATCATCATCCACTAAATTTAAGAAAAGTACAAATACTCCTCAAGAAATTAAGAAAACTGCAAATGCCCAGTTTTGACTAGCTAAGCTTATATAAGTATAACACGAACATTCTCTTTGATTGTCCAAAAAATTGATGCAATTCATACATTGATGTAACAATCTTCGGAAATTCCTGCAAACATAAAACCAATTTCATCCTTTCACTATTTTGTCGAACAAAAATATCTTCTCTTTTTTGTTGAATACATGTATCCTCCACGTTTTACAAAATCTAAACAACCATGTTTAGTTTCATAGTTGGACGAGAAATTATCAATTTAGAAGTGCAATTAGTAATTTCTCTAAATCTCGGGACAAATTATCAACTCTTTTTTTGACTAGCAAGTTGGATAATCATAATTTCTTCATATTTAGGAGGGCATTTAATAATTTCTCTAAATCTCGGGACATTGCGCTAAAAACATTGGTAAATGGTGTAAGGGAGAGAATCTTCTTACCTTCCAACTCACTTCATTAAAGTCAGTATATAGCAGAAGAAGATTCTTCAACACACTCTTAATCCTCCCTTTACTGTGGTTCTTTTTGGATTAGAGAATAGAGAGAGAGATCCAAAATATGCATGTATATATGGCTACCTATCTACCCTTCCCTTAATTCCCTTTATTTTCTTCCTCCTTTACATCTTTGGGAGGTGTACAATTTCTTCCTTTTCAATTTCCCCCTCCCTTTTATTAAATTAACTTAGAATCGCAGAATTCGAACTAAGATATTCCTTACTTACAAGCAAGATATTTTATTCTTTTATAATCAAATGTCTTGCACACACACAGTCACACACTATATTAGATATTCTCTTCCACAAATGCACTCAAAATGCATAACAATTATGCAACTTTTGAAACCAAAAAGTGAGTTGCTAGCTGCTCTTGGTGGATGGATTGATACTCAACACCAAATTGAATATATACTTTCTTCTACTTTTACTATAAAAAATAAAAAATAAAAAAACAGTATATTATGAAATTATTCAAAGGTGGTGTGGGGGGTAGTATTTCTAGTATATGCTGGTTGAATGCAAGTTAAGTACTATACTACTCAACTTTTTATATCACAATAATTTAATTCTAGAATCATTCTTAAATTATTATTAATTGTAATTTTTTTATTCAATAAAAAAAAGACGATCTTTGAATACTTTGGAACAGAAAGTGACACCCGCCCTCAAAGTACTTTGCGAAACACAGCTTAGATAAATCCTTTAACTCTGCTCCTTCTCGGCTCTCTGGTAGTTTTTCCATTTTTCATGATTACTCAATCACAACCAAGTCCCAAAAAAACATTTCCCTTAAATAAATGAGTTCTCCAATTTTTGCACTAACCCTACATGTTATCAAACATACTACCTACGTTCTTTTTTTATCTGTTGCTTTAGGGGTATATCTAACTATTAAGTAAATAATGATTTAGAATTTAATTTTTAAGTATAATACGTTTTTTGCCCCTACTTAAAAGTATTAAAACTCTTTAAAAATTTGAAATTAAAATGAAAAATAAATAGTTATCATTAATACATGTTATTAAAAGTAGAAAGAGACAAGAATGAATTTGAAAAAACTGTATTCAATGCTTCATTAGAAATGAAGAAAAACAGATAAAAAAAGTTTTTGGATTCACTCTAGTGCGACAGATTAAAAAAAGGAACGGAGTAGTAGTTTTACTTAATGGAATACTATTAATACATGCACAATAAGCAAGAGATGTTAAGAGCTTATATGATTATGGTTCTTTCTATGTACGTACATGATCATGATGCATCCCAATCCTAGCTATCATGTACCAATACCAGAATTTCGAATTTTCAGACCAAAAGACTGAATCATACAGCTAGGTGTCCTATAGCATTTGTTGGTTTTGTATGAGTCGTAGGTTAATTAAAAGTGGCAATGGTGGCTGGTTGGTAATTCTTCATGGCTAAAAAGAAGAAGAATCCCTCTTTTAATTTTAACACCACTTTAGCTGGCAACTTGTACATGTAATGTGTGTATTGAGATTCCTCCCAATTTAGCTACCTAATAAATGAGCTTTTTAATTTTTATTTTTCTTACCAACTTTCTAAAGGTAATTTATGCCAAAAATGAGGCTCATTTCTGATAATTTTCACATATACATCTGTGCCACTGTGAAAAAAAAAAAAAAAAGGAAAGGACAGTAAGACTGAATCACTCACTGGACTGTACTGTAACAAGAAACAGAAGAAGCAGAAGAACACAGAGGAAGAAGAAGAAGAAGAATCATATGGTCATGATTTTGAATTCGTACAAAAGACAGAAGAAAGCAAAATCAATTCAAAGCCAAAGGTTCTCTCTAACCAACAAACATCAACAGCAAGAGGGGATACTTTCTCTAACCAGTAAACCACATGACCCCTTTATTTGTCAGAGAAAGATAAAAGAGAAAGGAAAAAAAACACCCCTAAAAACAGAACCTTCACACACACACACACACACATTTGATTTTTAGCTTTTTTGATTTGTGCCTTTGCTTCTTTGTAAGAAGTTACCATCCCTCCTCTTTATCTACTATTACTACTACTACCCTTTGCTTTCTTTGTTTTTGTTTTTCCCCTTTATTAATTTCTCTTTCACACACACACACACACACACTCACAAAAAACGCTGCTTTATTCTCTTTCCCCCCTCGAACTCGACCCTAAAAAGAAGACCCTTCTCCTCTTAAAACTCAATCCTCCTTGTGTTCACAAACAACATTACTTCCCTTTACATTCCATTTCTCTCTCTGTCCAAACAAACCATCATTTGAGCTTGAAAACCTAGAAAGCAAAGACCCACGACCCCTCTTCTTCTTCTTCTTCTTTTGGTTCCTTTTGGCTATTCTTTTGTTTTCTATCATCTAACAATTTCCTGTTTGAGCATGAGAGTTTTCTGAGTATAGAATTCTTCTCAAATAGTATCATCATACGCCAAATTCTACAAAGGGTTTTTTCAAAAATCATAAGCTAGCCTAAATGATGGCCTCACCTGCTGAGCTGAGCCTTGACTGCAAGCCACACAGCTACTCCTTGCTTCTGAAATCTGTGGGTGAACAGCAGCAAACTCATGATCAGACACAGAAGCTTGAAGAATTTCTTTCTCGACTTGAAGAAGAAAGGCTCAAGATTGATGCTTTCAAAAGGGAACTTCCTCTTTGCATGCAACTCCTCACCAATGGTACGCTTTTCATCAGACAGATAATTAAACACCATAATGAACTTTCCATTTTTGTGCATGGTCTCTTTGAATCAAAGGTTTTATAAGTTCTTAGATTCATCTAACCAAAACTAGATATATATTACGTTTACCCTTTTTTTTAACGAGTTATATAGAACGGAAAAATTGGGTAAATACTAAATACACCTGATACGATGCTGAATATTCATGCATATTACTTGAAGCATTTCCTAGGTAGCTACCTTTAGTCTTTCTTTTGATAATCTTTTTTTTTTTTTTTATTTTTTGAGTTTTCACATTGCTAAAATTGAGAAATTACAAAGCTTTTCATCTCTGCACAAACTTATATACATCTGCTGAACATAGCTTTTGGAGCTCCCTTAAAAGCAGAATTTTCATCCCATTTTTTGTGTATTAAGATTAAAGTTCTCAACTTTTAGTTCTACTACTCATGACACAATATTTTCTATCTTCATCAGCAATGGAAGCTTACAGGCTGCAGCTACAATCCTACAGAGCCAACCAAGGATCAAAACCTGTTCTTGAAGAATTCATTCCCATAAAACATGCACCAAGTTCTGAAGGATCAGACAAAGACAAAGCAAACTGGATGACATCAGCACAGCTATGGAGTCAGGCAGGAGCAAGTGAAGTTATAACCAAGCAGCAACAATCCCCGGTGACATCTCCTCAGGACAACCATATTGAAAATGGGTTCAGTGTGAATCATCAACATCATGCAAAGCAATCCTTGGACAACAACAATAAGCAGAGGAATATGAATGGAGGAGCTTTTCATCCATTTGGGTCAACAAAGGAAAGAGTTTCATGCCAAAATCAGGCTTTAATAACACTACCAGATTTGGCACTGGCTTCTTCTGATAAAGATATGGAAGACCAAAAGAATGTTGGAAACAATGGCACTTCAGGAGGAGGAGTCAAAGGAGGCAGTGATCAGTCAGATTCACAAACGAACAACATTAATCCTAATAATAATAATAATAATAATAATAACAACACTAGTGCGACCAGTCAAACTCACAGAAAAGCCAGGAGGTGCTGGTCCCCTGATCTTCACAGAAGATTTGTTAATGCTCTTCAGATGTTAGGCGGTTCTCAAGGTAATACTTTTTACTTCCCAACTACTTCTATTTTCTGTAGTGAAATCAGATTTGTTACTGATTTGATGTTGATGGGCTGATTATTATATTTCACCTAACTAAAAAGTAACATATAATGAATGGTTAATGATTGCAGTGGCTACTCCAAAGCAAATCAGAGAACTCATGAAGGTTGATGGCCTTACTAATGATGAAGTTAAAAGCCATTTACAGGTAATAAATTCATCATTCCATTTGGATTTTTCTGTGTTTTCTCCTTTTCACATGCCAAAAAAAAAAAAGAAAAGAAACAATAACAAAAACGAAACAGAGAAGTACAGAAGACATGCATGATATAGGCTTCATCATTATCCTACTTTTTTTCTTTTTTGGTTTCAGTTTTCATTGTTCACTGACAAAAAAAAAAAAGAAATTGTGGGTCTGGATATTCAAACCTTGGAATTGCAAAGTCCAACAAAATTACCGAATCTGACTGACAATATACATTCTCACGTAATCTGTCTTGTTTGTTTTTGTAACAGAAATACAGGCTGCATACCAGAAGGCCCAGCCCAAGCCCACAGGCGGCGACGGCGGCAGCACCGCAGCTGGTTGTTCTCGGCGGCATTTGGGTTCCGCCGGAATACGCAACGGCAGCCCATCCGGGAGCTCCGGCGGCCACCCTCTACGGCGCACATCATCCGACTGCACATGCATCAACCCATTACTGCACGGCGGCAGCCAACACTGGAGGACCCCACCAAGAATTTTACTCTGCTCCGGCAACCGCCCAAGCCCATCAGTTGCACCACCACCACCACCACCATCACCCCGCCGCCGCCCTCCACAACCAGCTTCACATCTACAACCAACCGCCGCAGGCGCAGAGCTCGCCGGATTCCGATGTGCGTGGGACCGGTGACCGGTCGGAGAGTATTGAAGACGGGAAATCGGAGAGTAGTAGCTGGAAGGCCGACAGCAATGGCGAAAACGGAGGCGGCGGAGAGAGGAAGTTGTTGGTGGTGAGAGAAGAAGGTGAAGAGAGCAATGCAAGTGAGATCACGCTCAAGTTCTGACCATAATCATCATCATCACTTCGTCGGAGATCAATTCCCCTGTTGATTATTAGAAGAAGTAGGATTATTATTATTAAGATTAAGATGAAATTAAGATTAGGCCGTGGTAGATTTTAGCTTTAGAAGAGATGGAGGAGGTTTGTTCTAATTAACTACAATTATTACTTGGTCGAAAGAAAGAAAAGAAAAAAAAAAAATCCATTTTGTTGGGTAAATTCACGACTATGGAATGTGAAGATGGCAATGAAGTGTACTGATCAGTCAGCAGTCAAGATTACCTACTATCATCAGTGATTTGGTGGTCTGTGTCCTATGACGATGAAACTACTAGTAAATCATAGTATCTGTATTTGTTTTTGTACGGCTAGCTTCTTTAATTTTATTCTTTCTCTTTTTGGCGTTAATTTCCTGCTTTCTTTGTGATTGTGTTCAGATTCATCAGATTTTTGCAATGTAAAGTCATTTGTTTTGAGGCTTGGAAGAACGCCTATTTGAACATACTGATGATAAATCAACTCGTGTATAGGGAGGAAAATCTCTCGGATTCATTTTGTGGTTTTGATATATATATTTTTGCTGCTAAGAGTGCAAAAGTTACTAGCGGGAGATTGAATGTACCACAAATGAATACAAAAGGATCCCCTTTTATTCGCAGATAAATTTGTACGTAAACATGAAAGGCAAATTGGAAGAGGTTAACTCCTAAAGCCGGTGAAAAGTTGGAAAACTAACATACCAATCAAGCCCGAATAGAAACCATATCAGCGAAAGGTGCACCGAAAGGGCTCCACACAACCGCTCTCCAAACTAGGAAAGGTCATGCATCTATCTATCGAATTGTTTGATTCAGACGGTTCCTTTTCATAACAGTTTTTGGATTCACATTGAAGGTTTATGATATAAGGTTCGTAGATCCGGTTTTTGTCTCACCGTCTAATCAAAGCCCAGTCAAGCTGCCGGAAGGGGGACAATCCCAGACCACGAGCATGTCAAGCTTCCTCTTCTAAAAACTGCAACCGTACTTTGTATTGGTGATACAAATTACAAACGGGGAAACAAAATTGTTAAAACACTGCTCCCTTTGCCTCAAAATATATGACATGTTTGTTGCCCTAAAAAGGGTCGCCATATCTACAACCATTTATAAGATCCATAGCTGCACACACAGGAAATTGTTGGAGGCCAGTTTAATTTATTATACAGTGCCATTTGCCAGGATACTATCTCTTGCACCTGTAAGAGCACCATGTTCCAGCTCAGACATTGTTGAACTAACCAATGACTGCATAGCAAAGTTTAACATGTTAGCCTTATCATTTACATGCACACTAAGGCAGCATAACGACCAATGTTCCAATGCTACGGGATATTCGAGTTTGAGGTGCAGCAACAATTCACTGAGAAAGCTAAAATACTAATAAATTATGAACTAGATATGATCCCGTTATATTAAACATGGATGTGCACCTATGCCCAATTTGGATATGATCCCGTTATATTAAACATGGATGTACAGCAAACAAGTAACCACCAGAAATTGACCTAAATAAACTACCTGAAGTTCCTGTTCAGAGCGTTTAAGTTGTTCACTGCAGTCTCGTACTTGTAGGTAACATTTAGTCAACTGCACAGATGCAGGTAACAATCATTCAGTCATCTTCTTCAGTTGATTGAATAATTCAAATTTTGTATCTATTCAAATCACCTTAGTCAATTGCATCTCACGGTAAGACCTGTCTCTTTTGGCTGCAGACAATGATTCCTCCAATTTCTGCAACCAGACCATGGTTGTCAAAGAAGGACCAAATATGGTATATAAAACTAATAACAGGAAAATCAGCGCCCTAGAATATGAGTATATGACAGAGAAATAAATTGGATTAACAATCAATGAGGCTGAAGGAAGGCTCAACCTTTGATTTTTCCTGCAACTTCAGAACAAGCAGTTTCTTTTCTTCAGCCAACTCTTCCATTTCGGCCATCTGGTGAATATCATTACACAAGAGTTTCTATTCATCAAACAAACTGCAACTAAGAATTCTGGACAAACACCAAACATTGCCATTATAAAGTAATCTTCAAACCCTTTTAGCTAATTTACTTCGATCTTCAAAAATGGAGAACTTAACTTTATAGGCAGTATCACGGAGGAGAAGTTTGATTCTAGTTCCAATCACACACAAAAACAGATACACCCAATTAACTGAACCACAAATTTAGATCATGCAATTTACGCAGAGAGTGGGAGAGAAGGGGGGAGGGGGTGTTTAAGAAACAGAGAAATCTAAAGGGGCAAAAGAATATATTAGCTCCACAGAGATCAAATTATTAATGAATACATGAAGTGCCCAAGTTCTTAATATGCTTTACAGATGCTGATAATTTAGGTTATCACAGCATATCATTGATAAATTAAAAAGATCAAACTTGAACACAAACCTCTTTCTGAAGTTCTTCATATTTGTGACTTGAAATCTCCAGTCTCTTGGTTACCTGTTTCATTCAAAACACGTGATAATAGGACAAGAGGTTCAATATCTAAGTCTGAGACCATGTCTTTTGTAAAAACCATTAGACTGAGGATTCAAGGGTTTTACTTCAGCATGATCATCATCCGCGGACTCTGATGAACGGGCTCTTTTTCCATATTCATTAGAATGAGATCTGCCGAAAGAAATTTTTGCAGTGAGACCATGATTGTTTGTGTACTAGGTAGTGTACATAAACATGCTAGCATTTCTTGGAGAGTAAAATGACAGGAAGCACTGAAACTGAGTGATTTTTGAAAAAGATTATAAATTTGGATTTCCAAACATGAAGCAGAAAAAAGCAAGAAGCTTGGGTTTAAAACTCCTTATAAAGCACGTGAAATACAAACCGAAGCAGTTACAAATTCAAGAATTAATTAACCATTCTTATAGCTTGTTATGCCTAGATCTTCAACAAAATCTATCAAAACAGCAAACACAGTTGAGCTCATACACTTCGTAACTGCTTTCCTCAATAAGTTTGAACTACCCAACCAAGACAAACAAACAATAATGATTTCCCCCTTCATCATGTAATCTTTCTGGAATGGAATGTGAAAAAGACAGCAGCACAGGATACAGCAACAAGATCAGGAATCTGAAATTGAGTTGTGAAAATAGACACAAGTACGATGTATTTAAAGATTTAACAATAACAAATAAGCTTCCGGCAATACAGGTGTATGAGTGTCTCTTACGTTTCCCGAAACTTGGGCTTTTCATCCTCATCCCGTTCAGAAGCTTTATGGTGATTAGCAGTCCTATGTATGTCTTTCCTTGTATCCCTCACCCGCTCCCTGTTGTAGTCTCGCATCCTTTCACGCTCTTGTTCACCATTGTCCAAATTATTATCATGCTCATGAAATCTTTCTCTATCAGAAAATCGATCTCTCATGCGATCATGATCTCTTATGTTATCATATCCTTGGTCATGCTCCCGAGACCGTTCTCTCAAATCATCCAGATACCTGTCTCTACCATTATCATATTCCATTTCCCTAGAACTACCCCTATCGCGATCCATGCGCCTGTCTGAATTCCTTCTGAAATTATCACGACCAAAATTGGACTTCCCACCTCTACTCCTCACTTCATTTACTCTGATAACTCGACCATCGACAGTCTAATAGAAAATGAAATAAAGCTTCACTTCAGACAAACCCTACATGACCTAATAAACATGGTCGAGAAAGGAACAAAACTAAAACCAGAAGCAAGCATTATAGTGTATTCTATTCATTACATCAACTATCCATTACAGCGAGAGAAGGAGAAAAATACCTGTCCATCCATTTCGTGAATCGCATGCATGGCAGATTGAGGATTTGTGAAAGTAACAAAAGCATAGCATTTGCCCCCAATATTACGATCATTGATTAACTGGAAATCATGACATTATTAGGCAAAGGCATAAGTACAAAAATACAAGGCAACCAAAAGTGATTTACATTAGCAGATACGATAAATAGTCCACCTAATGAAATGAAACTAAAAAAGACAATAGCCACAAAAAATTCATGCCAAGGAAGAACAGAACTTTACATCAACTGAAAAACTTCTATTGTAGTAAAAAAGCATGGATTTCCTACATGAATTATACCAGCTATCAATCTTCCTTTCCCAAAGACAGGGTTTTGAAGTTTTTGTACAAGCACATAAACAAGCACAAATAATACCTTAGTCATCCACAGGCAATTAGGCGAACCGCACCTGTTTACAAACATCTTACATCAAAAGTAAGTTTGAATCCTTTTTGTATATGTTTCCATTTCACAGAAGAAGCTTCTAAGCTTATCTTGTCTTGTCATATATACATACTCCATGAAATTTCTATTACAAGTTTAAATAACGTAGAAATCCTTCAAAACAAGCACAAGCCCCCCCAAAAAGGACGAATTTTATTTCCACCAAGCAACTCAAATCTTTACTTTAAACTTTAATTCCTCTGCCCTCAGTTCTGGACCTCAATTTTCAGCAGCCAAGTACAGAGAAACCTAACTACCAGCTTCCAGGCATAGTGCTCACTAAAATAGGCAATTTGAAGTTTTTCAATTCTCTGAACTTTAGGAAAACAGATTAATCGAACAGAAATAACTCTAGCTAAATGAAAATGCAGGTTTTCGCTTCTTCACCACATACACGAATTCATACATGAGACAGAAAGAAAGGAAGTACGAACCTTGATGGCAACAATAGAACCGTATATATCAAAGATTCGTCGTAGGCTGTCTTCGGTGGAGTCGAACGGAATACCTCCGACGTAGATTGAACTTTCATCGTCGATCGTCATTTTCCGGTCCCTGAATTTCTTCCCGCTACAAACGTTACAGTTTTTTTGTCCCCTAAAATTATTCTAGCATATGAATCTGATCCTCATCTCCTTTTGTCAACAGTCGACAGGTACGAAGCTGGGCCGATCGAAGCATGTATGATCCACTAGTTAAATCAGCAATTAGACTTTTGGGCTCAATATCTTATATGGGCTCAAACTTATCCATGGTCCATACCATAATGCCTATCCGCAGTATGCTCAATGTGCCGGAAACATTTTTAACATTTTTGGGACGGAAAAAGTGAATTGACATAAAATTAAACATTTTAAAAATCTTAATCAAATTAAACAGATAGTCACCCAAAAAAAATTGAGTACAAAATTTATTTATTTATTGAACAAAAAATTATTTAACAAACAACGCTATTAATACATAGGATGAAATGACTAATATATTTCATTATGTGAGAGCATGGGTTTACCTATGTTTCTCTGGTGGGTTTTATTTATTTATTTTTGTTAAAATGAATATTAGTATTTCTATTCTTCCAAAAAAAAAAAAAAAATACTCCATTTTGAGTTTTCATATTTATATTACTATTTCTATTCTTCCAATATGAGTTTATCTATGTTGTAGTAATGAGAACTACTTTTTTGGAATAGATGAATTATAAAAAATGCTTAAGTTTAGGTAAAAATCACCTTGAGCCTATAATGGATTCTTTGCATGGCAAATACTATGATGCATGCACTTACAATTAGATCTTTTTGCTCAGAGACATCCATTAATGAACTTTTAAACTTAACCAACCTAGGATATTATAATTGTAGATTTTTTTTTTTTAAGGGTGTGGGGGGACCTCATGTCCGAAGATCCCCAAGAATCCAATATATCAAATGAGGAAGAATCAACAAGAAGAGCCAATAATTAGAGCACTAAACTCTAAAAAAGGCCTAGCTAACAAACTAGTGGAGTGGAGTCAATTTCTTGGACTGATGGTTGCATGATAGATAGTTTCATGTGGTGTTTTTTTTTTTTTTTTTTGAACTACAATTACAAACACATAGTGCCAATAATAGAGAATGTGTGTGTATTTTGTGATTAGTGACTATATACATATGGGAATTTTGCAGAATAACAGTAGTACTGCTCTCAATCCAATGGCAGATTTCAGCCAAAGAAAAAAAAAAAAGAAAGAAAAAAGATGGGCCGACGAGAGGCAAAAAGAATGTGAAGATAAAAAAGTACGTTAGCTGGCGAAGCATAAACCAATATATATATATATATATATATATATATATATATAGGTGAAAAAGACTAAGCACACCTATCATCTCATTGGTCCCTATCTGTTTGTAAGCAAAGTTAAAAATCTTTTTCAAAAAAAAGGGACAAAATAAGCTATGAAGCACTTGTGTCATATCACCATACATTTTCACCCATAATGCATCATGTGGGTTGTATTATCGGGTGTGCCCCTTCTACTGTGTCGATCTGTATCGAGCAAAAATCAGTTCGAGTATAGTATATGTTGTTGGAAATGTATCTATAAGGGTAATTTTCGGCATAGATTCGGGTGCACTCTAAGCGAGGACCTTGCATGGTTTGTCTCAACTCCAATGGTGGTGCTGCTTTGGTGGGTCATTTCTATGATTTTTAACACGTTCGATGATTACCATTTCTCCTTCGTGTTGTTATCATTATGGAGTTGAATTTTTAGGGTTGTGTTTGAACTGTTGATGCTACGTTCTTTTTAACATTGTCGATACTACTCATTTGATAGTATTACAAGGTAATCATTAAGCTTTTGATTATGAAGAAAGTGACTTTCATGATCCTCTTTTACAACCATCCTACTTGTCCAGATCAAGACAGCAATCATGCATGAATGACTAAAGTGATACAGTTACAAAAGAGCTAGCATCAGTATTCCCCGGAAAAAGTTAAGCCCTGATCTTTACTGGCCAAATTTACTAGATAAACAACACAATTAAATCCTAAGCAAGGACTCCTCCATCCTTAAACTTAGGTTGATGATTCGAATCTTGCCATGAGTATGGAACAATCTTAAATACTTTAGCTAGCTGCCTCACTCATTGAAGTACCTACACTTCAATAAGGGGGATTAGTCACTGTTGCCGAAGGTAAACACCCTACAAATATGAAAAAAAAATAAAAATCCTATTGCTACTTTTTGATACGTCCGAAATCACTATACCAAAACATCTCGGTTTGATGAACATATTTCTTTTTTCTTTTTTCTTTTTTTTGCCTTAAACTACCCATAGTACCCATTACATAAATCCCTCCCCCAATGAATAGAACTATAGTCAAAAGGCTCCTCTCAACTAATCATTGTGGCAACTCTTCGTTCCCAATATTTTCCAATTTGTTTCAAATTTCTCTAATGGATAGTATGACATTAACCATTAAGGGGTGTTTATTATATGTGTTATAATTTGAAACAGTTAGACTATTACACATGAGCTATAACTACACTGGTACTGTACTACAACTGATAATAGTTTTGATCGGTAATGGTATCGATCTTTTCATTTTTTATTTTTTTTACTAGGGATACCGCTACCAAAGTAAGGGTAACTATATACTCCCTTCATTTTTTTTTTATATGTTTTTCTAGAAAATTCATCAAAACCAAGAAGACATTAATTAGTGTAGTTAAAATACAAAAATATTCTTATTTATTTTCTATATAACTCATCACAAATAAATGAAAATTCATTATAAATATTGTTTCATTTCCAAAGCAAGGGTAACATTAGTAAAAAATGGTCAAATATACCTCATTTTTTGAAAACGACATATATTTAAAAAAATTCGTCAAACTCTAAAACAACATATATTTTAAAATAGATGGAGTATTATAGGTACACATTAGTTCCTTAACAATGTGAGATTAATCCTATTGGTTAATTATGATCAGTGTAATTACATTAATCCCTACAATTCATGTCACACTATGTCCTAATAAAGTCATGCTATGAACTTGGCATGCATTTTTGTTAATGCAGACAAGTAAACATTAGTTAGGTTCCCAAAGCCAATACCTGACTAATCTGGATAGAGAAGATCGGGTATGGTGAATGCATGGTTTAATCATTAATGTTATATGGTGAGGAGTAGATGTAGAGATTTTAATGAAGGAGACATATCATCAATGTGTAGACAAATAGATAATTCCCTCTGTCAAAAAATTATTCCTCAAGAGAAGAAAGTAAAATCCCCATAAATGGCTACTCTCAAACCAAAGGCTATATAGAGCTAGCCCAATAGGCACAAATATATAAGAAGGAGCTGAGCTGAACCTATACGACTATATTAATACAGAGGTCAGTTCATTACATTATTTATTCAAAACCAACTCCCTCTTCTTCTTCATCTCTTTCAGAATTCAGATCATCCCTTATTTTTGGTTTTTCCATTTCATATTTCACAAATGAAGCTCTTCATGCAGCTGATCAGTACCAGGAGATTCATGGCATGACAGAGAATAGAGATATAATTATGAAGCTCACAGATCACTAAAATTCAGTAAGGAAGTTTCTACCATTTGTTTAATTTGTGTTCACCTCTGTGTGGTTCCAAGGTATAGAAATTTTTCTATGTAAAAAAAAAGAAAAGGCTGCAAATCAGAAAACAATTTATCCAACTGCACGCTTATGAGTTAAAGTTCATCTTTAGCAGTACTCATCTCTTCTCCTTTACTCGCTTTCAATGAAAGTTGTGATAATTCTTTTTCTATAAATATTCTGTTCGATTCCCATAAAAAAAGGTGGAGTTTGTAGCTTTTGTTCTTCTCATTCCTTGTTTAATCTTATCAAGGCTTCTTTCTTCCTCCAAATATTCTGAAAGAGCGCACCTTCCCAACCAACAATCAATCCCCTTTTGTGAATTTCCACACACCCACACACACACACAAGAAAAAAGAACTCTTTTTTCGTGCTCTGTTTCTGAAACACAGACACCTCCGTTTCTTCATAATTTTAATAGTAAATTATTGAGTTTTGATATTCCCTTCAAGTACTCCTTCTCGCTTATTTATATGTGTATTCTTGGCCTCTTCCTCTTGAACCACTTGCAAATTCGCTTCTTGCATACTTCAACTTCAAGCTTTCTGCTCTGTTTTAAAAGCATTTCTGTTTCCCAAGATCAAATCTTGAAGAAGCTGTTTTACTTTGGGTAAGTCTTTTGAGCATTAGTTTTGCTTTCTCTTGCTTTGACTGCTTTGGCTACCCTTCTTCAACTTCATTAAATTCTTCTTCTTTCACACTGAACTGGTTAGTAATGGGTTTTGGACAAGAAATGACTTGCATGCAAGTTGAGATTTTTTATGAAGGACTCTGTTTCCCACTTCTGTAATAGTAATAACTTCATGAGCTACAAAAAGAACTAAACACTAGTAGTACATTTGATGATGTTTTGACTTTTTTTTTTTTTTTTGGTGGGTTGCAGAAGCTCGAGATTCAGTTAATACTATCTCCTAGGGAAAGAGAACAAACATTGAAGGGCTAGCTTGCTAGCTTGTGATTAAAAGCAAACATTAACCACAACCAGGTTTTCTTTTGGTTTAAACTCGTTACATAAAGCCTTGTCTTTCTCGGTTTCTGATGTTCAAAATGGCTGTCATTTATTATGACTTAAGAGCATGTTTCTGTGTGTGCATTTATTTGGGAGCAGTAGAATTGGTAAGCATTTTTTTTTTTTTTAAGGAAGAAAAGATGAGAGAATAGGGTGGTGGTGATGGGGTCAATGTAATCAGACTCTTTTTTTTTTTTTTTGGAGCCATGCTGCTAGTATGTCTGTCTGTGCAGACTCATCATTACAATTGCTGTTTTAGTGTTTTTGGCATTTTATTCTTGACCAAACTTCTTCATATTTCATCATCATCTTCTGCAACCTGTCTTTTCCAATCTTACAGAGATGGATACAGAGAGAATGTACAGGCACTAGTCTTTGCATTTACTTTTTTACTCTATTTTGAGCTCTGTTTCACGTGATGGGTTGTTACGATTTGTCTCTTTGATTTGATCATCGAAGTAGTATCAATACATTAAGACCTCAATGTGTGAGCGTGTAATTTGTACAACAGATACTATCTCAGCATAATGAGAACATTTCTTTTCATCCCCACAACAACACAATGTACTGTCTTTTTTCAGATCTTCATTCTCTATCCCTTTGACCTCTTCTACTAGGGAATGAAATGAACAGTTTTGTTTTTTTTTTGGAGGGAATGAAACTCAATTCATGTTGTCGTGTGCCTTTCGATAAAAATGCACTACAGGAGCAAAGATGTCCATTTCGTACTTTGTTTGCACTTTGCATTTGACATCTATCAGTCCATTATTACTAAATATAAAATGGGGGTGTAGAATAAAAGACACTTTTGCAGTGGTTCCGTCGTTTTCCTTCAGTGGCTCCTTTATTGGCCAATGGATATCATATGGTTTTGTCTCAACTCTGAAATGACTTGCATTCAAAACACAACACTGTTCGGGCTTGAATTATTCAAACACCCGTTTTAATTTCTGATCAATTCTTAGTGTCAATGTTACTGAAAAATCATCTTGTTAATTGTCTCACTTTATCCCACAAGAAATGGGAAACTCTTGAATCAGTTTTTACTGTATACCTTTGAAACGTGATCCTTTCCAGTTCAAAGTTGTCTTCTTTTTTTTTTTTGGGTTCATGAAAAAAGCAGAGATTTTTAACATAATGAGGTTATAATTTAGACAAAAAGGCTGTCCTAGCGCACCATAGAACTTGAAAGAAGGAGAAAGGTGGGATTGAAATGAAATGAAGGCTGCAAATACAGTAACGCAGAGCACTAATAATAATATGGCTAGTGCGGCCGCAGTACGGATAAAGCCTACAGTGGAGTGGGCCGTCTGATCCATCTTATTCCTCTTTTTTTGACCAGTAAAACTCTCATGTGTCCCCATCACTTTTCATCATCTTGGTCTCTTGGGCTTGAGATCCAAGTTCCAACCACTCATTAGTTTTCCTTAGGAAAATTTGCAATTTTCTTCCCTCAGTTCTGGGAAGAATAGTATATCAGTCTATTAGATAATGAATGGTAGCTTGGCTTGCCTCCTATTTGTGTTAACATGTTCTTCTGGGCTACCAATAAATACATGCATTCTGTGGTTTTGTGGGACAATTTGCAGCTTTTGATTCTGTAGATTTTATAGTTATAGGATTAGGCTTATAGCTAACATTACCAGGTGCCAATTAGTTATGATTTATGGCTAACATTGAATATTTGAGTTGGGTCTCAAAAAAGTTCAATAAAGTTGATAACTTTATCAGAAAAGAGTTTGCAATTTATGCAAATCTAATGAAACTCATCAGGGTTAACAAAGGGATGAGGGAAAAATCCAGTGGTTCCAGCAAATATTACACAATTTTCAATGGGTTCTGATAGGATTGATCTACTTAGATTGTAGAGCTAGCTATAACAAGAGATGAGGGATCCTGTTTCCTGCCTAGAGTTTAGGAGATAATCCCAAGAATGAAAATCCGTTATTGTTAACAGCATTAAGTAGACAGCTGATTTTGTCTCTTCTTTCCATCTTAGCGTGTATGTTTTGTCCCTTCTTAGCAGTTTTCTTTTCTTGGTCAAATTTGGCCATGTTTTTCTTCACATGATTCAGCTGTTAGTAGCTCACACCATCACGTTTTTTCCCCCTCTATTCCCGTCTTCCGTTACAATATCGTTGGACTAATTGCACTAACTTCACAGTCTTTGATGAATTTCTTTGTTGATAATTTGTTGGTTAAAACAAATTGTTGAAGACTATCAATCCTGTTTCTTATACAAAGTTGTAATCGGATGGTAACTGATGTACAATTTCCTGTTCTTTTTATCCCTGTTCTTCTTATTGATCCTTTTGCAAACATATGACTTTTGGTTACTGGAGAAAGTTCCATCTTTTTGTTGCACTTTGCTGCTGATAGTCTCTCGTCTGCATGGTTGCATGGCCCTGTTTATCATCACTTTTTGGCTTAAAACTTTCAACCAGAATCAAAGTGGTCTATTGAGACAGAATATTCAAATTTTGATGCTTTTCCTCTACTTTTAACATCTTTCTTCCCGCATGCTTTATTAAAGTTACTTGCATGCCTCCACAAAGTTGCATGCCTGCAAAGCTCAAATCATTCAAACTTATCCAGCATTCTTCTTCTTCATTTATGTATTTGATTTGCACCAAACTGCAGTTTGTGAAAACTGCTATAGTTAACAGCTCCGCTTCAGTCTTATAACTATATACATTTGTTATCGTCTGTAGGCGATCTCAAATCTCCAATATGCCTCAATGTCAGAGAAATAAGCAACCTATGCAGAAGCATCTCATTTCACGTACCCCGTTACAGGAAACCATGAATCAAAATGCACAATCCTTAATTTTGCAACCTTATGATGAAGATAGCGGTGAAGTTCATAAGAGCAGTGTTGCAAAGAGAAGGAGAAGGAGAAGAGGAAAAGGGACACAGTTAACAAAGAAGATCGAGGATGTAACAGCTGAACCTGGTGTTATAACCTCTACTTCTTCAGAGAAAAACCTGTCATTTCCTCTTAGGCCAGGATACGGCAGTTTGGGTTCCAAATGTGTTGTAAAAGCCAACCATTTCATTGCTGAAATATCAGAAAAGAACTTGTGCCATTACAGTGTAGGATGTTATTCTGATGCAGTAATGTGATGTTGAAAAATGTTTCCGCCTGCCAAAATGACAGCTTGTAAATGTTCAATCTGTGCAGGTGTTGATAACTCCAGAAACCAATTCAACGACTATGAACAAAGCTATCATGAAACAATTGGTGAAACTTCATGGGGATAAGGAATTAGGGAAGATGCTCCCCGTTTATGATGGAAGAACAGCCCTTTACACAGCTGGATACTTGCCCTTTTCCTCAAAAGACTTCACTGTATCTCTCATGGATATTGATGAGTGCATAAACACTAAAAAGTAAGGAATAATCATTCACATTGCTTCCATATATATTATGGTGTAATTATCTCATATCACTTAGAAAAAAGATGAACCAATGAAACTGTGGGAAATTTGATCAAGTTCTGAATAATGATGCAGGGAACAAAGATATATAGTGACTATTAAGTTCATCTCTCAAGCTAACATGCTGCCTCTGCACAAACTTATTTCTGGAAATCAAGTAGAGACCAATGCGCAAGCCCTCAAGATAATGGATATTGTGTTGAGGGAGCTTGCATCACAAAGGTGCCACAGTTTAGCTACTTCGTTTTCACATTAATTGCTTTGTAGCAGTTATTGAATGTCTTGTAAATCACGAGTCCTTATACTCTGTTCTCTTCTTTCCAGATATGTGTCAGTTGGGAGATTCTTCTATTCTCCTAGTCTTAAGAGACCTCAGTCACTTGGTAATGGATTACAATCTTGGAGAGGCTTCTACCAGAGCATAAAACCTACCCAAATGGGATTTTCATTGAACATTGGTATGATAATCATTTCAACTAATGCAAGATCTTACTGCCTAACGTAATGAATTGCAAGTTGATCAATGACTTGTAACTCTCTCATTTTTTGATCAGACATGTCATCGACTGCATTTATTGAACCACTTCCTGTTGTTGAATTTGTTGCTCAAGTATTGGGGCGAGATGTTACCTCACGACCATTGTCTGATGCTGATCGAGTAAAGGTACAGTTAGCTGATATAAAACTAATGATATCTTCAAAACACATTACAACTGTTAAAAATTCTCTGTTTGGTTCGTTTTTTCGTTCATTTTTTCAGAATTTTTAATTAATATCCATCCCATCCCAGCATATTTTTTTACATTCCCAATACACATTTTTACATTTCCAATATACCTTTTTACATTCCAAATATAAAAAAACACACTCAAAAAACCATCCAAACATAGCCTTCTTTGTATGTTTCTTCTGTTTTTTGAATTATAAACGAAACTAAAATACAAATTAATGTAAATCTTACAGTTTCTACTTCACAGTCAATTCTGGATACCAGAAGACAGTTTTCTTATTTTCCATTTTATAATACAAGCTCAGTGCTATTAGTCATTGACATATATGCAATGTTTTCTTACATTAATTAGGTGAAAAAAGCTCTTAGAGGTGTCAAAGTTGAAGTTACACACAGGAAAAATATGCGAAGGAAATACAGGATAATAGGATTGACTTCACAGCCAACCAGGGAACTGATGTACGCATTTACTTATATGCCTTCATTTCTAGACTTTATTCCTCATGTCAGTGAGCTCATGCTCTTACAGTTTTCCAGTTGATGAGGAAAAGAACATGAAATCTGTCATCGAGTACTTTCAAGAGGTCTATGGCTTTACTATCCAACATGCCCATCTGCCTTGCCTTCAAGTAGGAAGCCAAAAGAAAGTGAACTACTTGCCAATGGAGGTATTTGTTATCTGGTGATGTAGCAACCGATAATTATCTTCAATGTATTTTTTTGGTATTCATAAATAATGGAACTATGCTTGTGTACCAGGCCTGTAAGATAGTTGCGGGACAGAGGTATACTAAAAGGCTGAATGACAAGCAGATAACTTCCCTGTTGAAGTTCTCATGCCAAAGACCTCAAGAACAAGAATCAGATGTTTTGCAGGTTTGTAGACATGCTCTTTCAGATAACTGCTCATATAATCTCTTTCAGATAACTGCTCCTATAATGCCACTCAGCTCCTTCCATCTACTTTAATCTGCTCAATCTTGTTACTAGTTCTGAAGCAGGTAATGAAACGTAATATAATGTAAAATACTGGTTTTATTCACTCTGGATGATATCTGCCTTGTTACCAGACTGTTCGCCAAAATGATTATAAGCAAGATCCTCTGGCCAAGGAATTTGGAATCAGTATTGATGACAACCTTGCATCAGTCGAGGCTCGAGTTCTTCCAGCTCCCTGGGTAAGTGTTAAAGATCCTCTCCCTGCCTTAGTTTTATGGCATGTTCAAATCCTAAAATTTCTTGGTTTGATTCAGTTGAAGTACAATGATACTGGAAAAGAGAAAGAATATCTTCCTCAGCTAGGTCAGTGGAATATGATAAATAAGGTAAACTAACCTCCCTTAGCATGACAGAAATATATCTATGGCTATCGAAAGCGTAATTCTATGTGAAGGTACTGACTGGGAAAATGTTGTCATATTTCAGAAAGTGATCAACGGTGGGACTGTTAATTATTGGGCATGCATAAACTTTTCTCGAAGTGTCCAAGAGAGTGCTGCTTCTAGTTTTTGTCAACAGCTTGCCCAGATGTGCCAAGTCTCAGGAATGGTAAGTAACTTATCTGATGGCTTTAAGGTTGATTTATAAATAAAATTGCTCTGCTCCATAATGCAGAATACCATTCACCCTTAATTTCAGGAATTCAATTGTGATCCTGTAATTCCAATCTATTCCGCTCGACCTGATCAAGTGAAGAAGGCTCTGGCTTATGTTTATAATGCAGCAGCAAACAAATCAGGAGGAAAGGAGTTAGAGTTGCTCATTGCTATTCTTCCTGACAACAATGGCTCTCTGTATGGTAAGCTGTCAACTGGTCACAAAAATCCAACTTGAACTCTCGAATTGTATCGTTCATTAATTAAGTACTTACTCCCTCCATTTCAAAATGTAAGTCTTTTTAGACTTGGCACGTAAACTAAGAAGACAATCATCCAACAATTAATTTATGTGTTAAATATCTTTTTTACCCCTCATTAATTACATTGAAATTATAAACAAGACTAAATAAAAATAGATTAGCATCATTTATTGAGGGTAAATTTTGAAACATAGTCATTAATTTGCCTAGAATTTGTAAAACGACCTACATTTTGAAAAATCTCTCCAAACCTAAAACGACCTACATTTTGAAATGGAGGGAGTATATAAGTAGTTTAGAGTTCGAAAGTAGACTCTTAACATCAAAATTACACATTCAGGGGACTTGAAGCGAATTTGTGAAACTGATTTGGGGCTGATCTCTCAGTGCTGCCTTACAAAGCATGTCCTAAAAGTTAACAAACAGTATCTGTCTAATGTATCTCTCAAGATCAATGTTAAGGTCAGTTTGATAACATTAGAGATATTTTAACTTTAGATTATGGGGATGGTGGAATTTACAATTTGTAAAGTACTTGATTTTCTTTTCTTGTTCATTCTTACTTGTCTCAGATGGGAGGCCGAAATACTGTGCTTTTAGATGCCTTGAGATGGAAAATTCCTCTTGTGAGTGACATCCCAACCATTATATTTGGTGCCGATGTTACTCATCCTGAGTGTGGTGAGGAGAATAGCCCGTCTATAGCCGCTGTAAGACTTCACCTCAATCACTTGAGAGCTTTTAAATGCTCAAGTATTTGTATGTCAAACTGAAACTTACTTGAATATAGGTTGTGGCTTCACAAGACTGGCCAGAAGTTACCAGATATGCAGGGCTAGTATGCGCTCAACCTCGTAGGCAAGAACTTATTCAGGATCTGTATAGAACCTGGAAAGATCCTCAGCGAGGGACACTGTCTGGAGGCATGATCAGGTCTGCGCCTCAAGCATACCTGTGCTTTTAGTATTGACTCAGCTCTGTTCTTGTTACCCCTTGACCTGGGGTTAATTTCCCCCTACGTTTTCTCTTTGTAGAAAAAAATAAATAAAATTGAATGTGTGATCTAGAAATGTACTTAATTCACAAAGCCTGTAGAAGCCATTGTTTTATGATATTGAAAAGCCCTGTTCTAACTTGCTTATGGCACCGCAGAGAGCTCCTGCTGTCATTCAAGAAGTCCACTGGACAGAAACCGCTCAGACTAATATTCTACAGGTATCAGCCAAGTTATCCTTCACTTCGAGAGCGATTCATTTCATTAGATAAGTCCCGAAATACTTGATCAAATTCAGGTGTAAAACTATAGGTTACAGATATTCTCTCTCTTAAGTTCTTTCATGTGCTAACGTAGGCTTTTGTTGTTGCACCATTTGTTCAGGGATGGAGTCAGTGATGGGCAATTTTATCAGGTTTTACTGTATGAGCTTGATGCAATTCGCAAGGTCAGTGAACTTAAACTCGTTACCTGAATATACATGTATCATTCGAGCTCCTGTCCACTTTGCCTTTTTACTAATAATCTTTTCATTTGCCAGGCATGTGCTTCACTTGAGCCAAACTATCAGCCTCCAGTAACTTTCATTGTTGTCCAGAAACGCCACCATACACGGCTTTATGCAAATAACCACCACGACAGAAGTAGCACTGACAAGAGTGGGAATATCTTACCTGGTATCTAAGACATTTAACTTTTCCATGTTATGCTCAAAGAACAAAAACATATAGAAAATTAAACCTGTTTTAAAATTGATCGATTGTGCAGGTACCGTGGTGGATACTAAGATATGTCATCCTACCGAATTCGACTTTTATCTGTGCAGTCATGCTGGAATTCAGGTACCTTCCACATTTTTACATAGCAAAAACCATCCTTCTTTTTTTTTTATGGGGGAAGCATGTTTTCATTAATGATCAACAAACCGTTGGAAACTTTGCATTTGACAGGGAACTAGTAGACCGGCGCATTATCATGTTCTTTGGGATGAGAACAATTTTACAGCAGACGAAATCCAATCCCTTACCAATAACCTGTGTTACACGTAAATACATAATCCTCCTCGTCTATCTTTCTTTAGTGTATGCATTCACCCTCACTTTGGCCCCTGCAAAAAATTTTAGATGGCTTCCATAATAAATATCTAATTTATGTGATCTACTTCTCCAGGTATGCTCGGTGTACTCGGTCCGTCTCTGTAGGTAAAATCACTTGAACTAATCTTGAACCATTAATCAGATCATGAGCCATTACAGATCATAAATTGGACTTTATTTTTATTTTTTTTTGCTGGAATTCGCCTACGCGAATGTGAATAAATAAGAGCACAGGCATCTACGTTTCATAATATTACACTTTTGGATGCAGTGCCTCCTGCATATTATGCACATTTGGCAGCGTATAGAGCTAGGTTTTACATGGATCCTGAGGCTCAGCCAACGGGAAATTCAGCAGTGCGGCCGCTTCCGCCGCTGAAAGAGAGAGTGAAAAATGTAATGTTTTATTGTTGAAGTTGTACTGGGGGGTGGAAAGCAGGGGCAAAAGAAGAAGTGAAATTTTGAGCCATGATAGTTAACACATGAATTGGCCTCCTGTAAATTATCGATGGGAAAGAAAAAAGATCTGCATGTTTAGTGTTTATAGTGTAAATTATTTAGGCGCCCTAAAAAGCTACAGTTTTGTTTTTGTTCTTCTCATTCCATCCAAGCTAGTATCAAGTCAAGTTGGCTTAATTCTAGTACTCCCTCCGTCCCAAATTTATTGTACAGTTTGGATTTTTAATTTTAATTCAATTTGTATTAAAAATGAAAACTCAAACAGAATAATAATTTTGGGACGGAGGGAGTACAAATTAAGATGTTATGATCACAAAATAATCCAGAAATGAATTCGCAACAAATCAGGAAACAGTTTATTCTTTGTTTTCAACACATTGTCTGACGAGTGGCCTGATTGATTACATGGTGAATTTTGAAGAACACTCATCAAATCTATGATAGTGATCAATATTTTCCACTCAGAAAATGAGAAAAAAGAAAAATAAAAGAAGAAGAAGAAGAAGAAGCAGACAAAGGAAAGGAACAGAAAAGGGAGGGGGTTGGGGGGACAGTTTTAAGGTTGGAAGGTGGGGGACAGAAAACCGGATCATGTGAATACCTCTTTCTTCTCTCTTTCTGGGATGGCTCCATTCCTCTCATTTATCACCATTGAGCCGTCGCCTTCACTCCCACTCACAACTAATATAATTACGTACCAATTCCTCTCTCTGAAATTCACCACCTATATATAACTGGATCAGATGCATTGTTGTAAAAGTAAAAAGGTAAACGGAAAAAATAGAAAAAAAAAAATGTTGCAAGGACATAGCGCCAGTGATCTGAATATGGTTTTCCAGACTCTGTACATACAACAAAATATACAAGTTTCTTTCTCCCTTCCATGCAAAAGAAGAAAAAGAAAAAGGAAAACAAAAGTAAAAAGCTTTTTCATGGAAACTGCAGAAATAGAATCTTCTGATCGTGCATAGCGTACTTGGTATATATAACCATTGATATACTGTAAAAATGGTAGGTCAGGTTGAGGTTACATCAGAAACAAGTCTCTGGCATCCATGGATATTTGGAATGAAAGCTAGCAACGAAGCCAGGAATTTGACATAACGGGTCCCAAAAAATTTACAAATGCAACTAATAAAAAATTTGTAATCTATATAGATATTATTATAAATTTTTTATTTTTATTTTTTGAAAAAAAAAAACAGATGCAAGCAGATTTGGAATTTATATTACAAATTCGAATTCTACAAATTATAAGATGCGGAAGGGCGAGATGCGGGACCCTTTGGCTCCGTCATTGGACGAAAGATGAGCTGACATTTTTACCTTGTTTTGGTTAATACGCATCCTATGCTAATGTTTTTTATGCATTAGTGTAGCACCGGCAGTACGTAGTACTTCTACCGACCCAACGGTTTCACAAGTTGGTTTATGTTTCACACCAAATTTATTTATAATGCTAACTTCGCTATATTCTATTCTTTTCGGTCTTTATTATAAGTTATTATAATTTTTTCTGAAGGAATATTATGTTATCCTATGAGGAGAAATTTCTTTTTTTTTTTTTTAATTTTGTTTTACAATAGTGTACAGTACCACCCATGTTATATATTGTTAATTTCAATAAAACATATTTTCTCCGTCTCAAGATCATTGTCTAATTTGGAATTTTACTTTTAGTTAAAAAAAAAGAAAAGAAAAGAGAGAGTGTATACTAATTACTAGTATAAATGACTCTTAAGCATTACTAAGAGAAAACCTACAATGACTTTTCCTATTTATGTAAATTTTCTTTTTCTATACAAATGTATGACGCCAATAATGAGGGAATAAAAACTTTTACAATCACAATGAATATACGTTTATTTCGAAATACTAACTGCGAAAGTGTTATCTGCTTTTTAAAGTGTGATCATATGTAACACTATTTAAAATATTTTTTGGGAGATATTTATTTATCAAAATATGTATATGTGTCCTCTCAAACATTGGATATTTATCGGGAATCAGGATACGTAATTAACACACATATTATCTTTCTATGAAGGGAAAAAAAAGTTAGAAAAAGAAATAGAACCCGACATTGATTTGCATGTTTGAAATGAAAAATGTGGAGGGGAAATAAAAAGAATAAAACTATGTGCATGATGGCATCACCCTAAAGGGAGAAGCGATAGATGGTCACATTTCTACTTTATGAACCTACATAGAAGGAGATCTTGGGTGCTCAAGTTCGAGGCAAAAATAGCTGTATATATGATGCAAACAAACAAAAGCAAGTGGAGAGAAGTCACCACCATCCTTTTGGTACCCCAAGCATTTGCGCATAAACAGATGAATCAAATGTGAGTGTTGTAAAATTTTTTGGCTGAAATCCATGCAAGGGGAAAGGTTTTTCTTTTCCACAATTCCCTTTCATTTGTCCTTCGCACATATCTTATTCATTTTTTTCCAACCATTATTGTATTGTTTATTTATTTATTTTCATTCAACAAAAAGAATTTTTTTTTTTTTTTTATTTTTAGTGCAGATAATATTCGGAATTCTCATTCTCATTATGAAGTTGGCTAGATATTATTGTTCAACTCAACCTTGTAAAAAGAATAATTAAAAAATGGTACCAAGATTACATATGGTAGCCTTTTTAAAAGCACATGTAGACTTCAGCCAAGTACAAATCGCGCTCTTTAGCCCTACTTCATATATTTTTTTGAATTTGGGTCACGAAGTACATGCTAATAAACGTACGTTTATAGGGTAGGCTTGCCACTCAGATTTCAATCCTTCACGTTTATTTTATAGCTGTTCAAGCCGTTACATATGTTTGTTTGGTGTTATCATCAAGTAACAAGACAACAGCAAAACCAAAATCCTCGGCATAAAAAAGAATAATCCTAATTCCTAAAGGCACCTCAACAACGTTGTAAAAGCTTCTCCAATGTGTCTTAACGTGAAGATGGCCTAATGTGTATCACTAGAAGTTCAATATTTTCAGATGAAATTACAGCTCTAAAAGCATTATCCAAAATGATCATTTCTAGCAAATATTATTTAACTGCAGCAGTACAAAATTTATTCTAAATTAATACTAAATTGCGGGTACCGGCTCAGCTGGTACCGGTTGCCAAGCCGAAGCTGCAATGAGCTGCCGGTTATGCCAGCCTAGAGTTAAACACCCTTCATTTTCCTCGACGCAATACCCTTCAGCTGAGAACAACGTTAACAGCATACTGGCCTGCTTAAATGCATTAGATCCCAAGTGCAACGGCTTAAACCCGGCTCCAGTAAGCCGGGTTCTCCATTTTGCAAGCGGCTCGTGTCTTTCGACCCGAGCTGAACCTTCACAACAAACCACGTTACATATCTCTCTCTGCAAGTACATCTCGGCTAAGGCTTTCTCCGGCTGGGTTGCACAAGCGTCGAGCGAGTCGAACATTGTTGAGTAATAGTACAGCGCTTCTGTAAACCGGTCGAGAAACTCGGCTTTGTTGTGGTTCGCTTCTTGTTCGACGACAGTAATGATTTTCGGGTTCAAACTCCGAATCCAAGACAGAACCGATTCGATGGATGAGCCGTGAAGCGAATCCGGGCCGAGTAATTTATGAAACTGGAAGATTGAGTTTACAGCAATGGCTTCGTTCGGGCTGGCTTCGAGCATCCACGGCTTGATGTCATCAAGCCGGGAAGCCGCCACGCCTCGGAAGGCGAACTTAACATTTACCGAGCGAGCCAGTCCAGCTAGCTTCAATCCGATTTCTCGTAGAGAATCACGTCCATCCGGCGATGGTGGGCCAATCCCCGTAATCCGCAGCAGTGGTGGCCCACCAGGGCGGAGCGCCAACGCCTGGATTAACGCCGGCCACTGTAATCCCTGCATAAGATTGAAATCGATGACGTGGACGGAATCGTGGCCCTGGAAAGCTTCCAGTATGGCTTGATTCGCCGTGAAATGGGCGAATTTCAAATACGGCGCCGCTTCGTAGAAACAGTGATAAAAGATCTCATTCTCAACGGCGGAATCCATGGAGCTGAGTCCTTGGGCCATGTATATCCGCCGGCTCAGCGCGTCGATGAAATACCCGGCCACTTTTCCGATGCCGGATAAAGTGTTTACTCGGGTCAGCAGAACCCGGAGCTCCTCAATCAAATTCCCGGCTAACGAGAAGTTCCCGGATTGAACAGATTCCGCACAAGTAAGCAAAACGTGAACAAGGTGAATGCTGGAATCCTCTTGGTCCAATGCATGCAAAACATGGGACAATACCTCCGGTTGCGGCGGCGGCGGAGGCGGAGTTTCAGTACTCCAGCCGGCTGAACCCACACCGGAGTCCACCGGAATCTGGACAGCCAACGTTGAGTTGGGTTGCTGGCAATTCAGCTCTGTCAATAAAGTGTCGACCCAAGAAGAGAGGTCAGACGGGTTGTAATAAACGACGCCGTTGGCTAGATGTTGAGGGAAACCCATCAGGTCCTGCTCCCCCATCACGGTTTCCAGGTGCTCCAGACGGTGAGCCACCTGGCTGAGCTCCGACGAACGGACTACGTATCCAGCCCCGGCGAGGAGTTGGTCGATCTGGTCCGGCGGCGTTCTGGACGCCGAACATGATGAAGAGCTGCTGTCGTTGCTGCTGGTAATGCTGGGTTCTTGCGGGCCCATGTCACTCTGTTTTTTTTCTTTTGGGGCTTCGTTTAGGATCAGTCTAGTTTTTTGTGGAACATGGAAAAGGAGTAATGGCGATTTTGAAGCTACTGTGTGACTGTGTGTTGGTTTCGAAGGCGAATTGGGAAGAGAGAGTGGGAAGTGGGGGGCTAAAATAACGTGAATAGTATCCGGTATAAACATACAGGATGCGTAAATCGAAATATATAGTCATCTTTCAAATTTTCTTTTTCATTCACCCGAATGGAAATTACGTGAATTTTAACACACTTTTTCCCTCCCACTTTAGTTGAACAAATGAAATAGTTAATTTTTTTGGATTGGTTAAAATTAATGAGAAGGGAAAGTATAAAACTCGTTCTGTCCTAAAATTATTATCTAATTTGGATTTTCATTTTTAGTATAATTTGAACTAAAACTGAAATTTTAAATTAGACAATAATTCGGGATATAAGAAGTATAAGAATTTGGAGAATATAGATCCAAACAAATGCAACGAGGAATTAAAAAACCCACATTGGATGATCAGCCATTCCTTGAAATTGATTGGCCAGTCAATAGTCACAACTCACAATTCTCTGATTATTTAAAATAGTGGCTTAGTGAGTAAATCTGTAGATGACTATTCTTAATGAATGTGACCTTTATTTCAAAAAATAAATAAAAGAATTAGAATAAATTCTATTATGTACTCCATCCCTTTCACAAAAATAGTCTAATTTAATAAAAAAAAGTTTGTCCCCAAAAAAAATAGTTCAGTTTCACAAAAATCAAAATTAATTAAATTGAAATGACTTAAATATCCAAAAGAGTAGTGGTAAGGAAAATAAGATCCACTTCCTTTTATTTTCATTTTTTTTTGTTTTCTTCCATTTTTTTCAAATGATTATATCTTTTAATAAATGAATTATTAAAAAAATGTGTTATATATTAAATTAATCTACGTAACAAGATCTTTTCATCAAGATCCATTGTCAATATTTTTTGAGATAAAAATTTTGATCAAATTTAAGTTGTAAAATAAATGCATTAGAAGGGGCATTATTAGAAGTTAGGGGCATAAAATGAGTTGTACATTTGGTGTTTTGATCAAATTAAAAAAGTTGTACATTTTTAAATTGGATTATTTTTCGGAGGGAGTACTAAGCATGAATGTTGTACCACACGATGTGTAGTTGAAGACTTTGGTCTGGGAATAAATATCTATTTAGAAAATAAAAAAATGGATGACCCTCTTTGGGCATTATCCTTTTAGCAGATGTACGAGGGAAACCTGAGTAGGGATGGTGCGACAATATGAATTGCCATCAAACTCGGGGTCATTATCATTTTGCCCAATATTTTTCTTTGGTTGAATTTATTTTATTTTGATTCCTGTCCCAGTTTACGGACATGATTTAAAACCAGGGCCACACCGCCAGAGGGAGTAATCTGTGTTTTATAAATAATGCAGGAGAAAATACAATAGTTTAGAACTAATAACATTTGTGAATGACAATTAAGATTTTGTGTTTGAGACTTAAGAGTTGAGAGTTGAGATGCTCTGCACAAAGTATTCACTATTCCATATGATGCGTTTTATATGTTACTCTTTCTAGTTCTTAATATGAAACATTTTAATTTGTCATATGTTTCACATAGTGTACGTTTTTAATTTGAAAAAAAAATCTTAAATACATTTTTACATTCATTTTCTTCTAATTTTTAGGAAATATTTCAAATTTTTTTCTTCAACTAAAAATGTATACTAAGTTAAATTTAGAACAAATCAAAATGTCTTATATTACTAACAAGTGTTTGGTCCAAGTGGTAAATGTGTCAGTTTAACTATGACCTAAATTCGAACACGGACATAGACATGCAGTAATGATTAAAATACATGTTCGGAAAATTTTGCCTCCCGAAAGGGACCTATACGGTTCGAATCTGGATTAGTCGGAGCAATGATTTTACACACCGGCTGCGTAATATACCAAAGAATTATCTTACATTAAGGATCGGAGGGAGTAGATTGTAATTTTACGGTATTTTCTAAAATCTCTATTAAAATTTAAAATTAAACATACTAAAATAATGAAGGACAACTTCAATGGGGGAGGGGGAAAAGAAAAAGGAAAATGAAGGAGGTGAGTATGATTTATTTATTTTTTGTGAATATGATTGATTGAGAAAGCAGGTCATAGGAAGGGAAAACCGAGAATTCTATGAAACAAATGAATTGCCCTCTGAGAGGGACATCATCGTGTTGGCCAATTTTCTTTTGTTAAGTAGAGAAACTTGTGAAAATGACAATTGACCTTAAAATGTAATAAAATAGCCTTCTGATAATGACCTTCAAACAGCATTAATTGCACTCTAATGATGATGGGGGCTGCACTTTTGTGGTCCTAATTTATTCTAACAAGAAATTGAGGTACTCTCAATTGGAAAATAAAGTTTATATATATTTATATATTTTGGTCTATATAAAAAAATAACTTTGTTAGAATATTTTTATGAATTGAAAAAGCATACAGTATAATACTAACAATTTCTTACTACAATGTTTCTTTTAGCTTTTTTTCTTTTCACTTTTTCATCCTATGCATGAAGTTTTGCTCTTCATTGTTCGATGTGCTGTACCTAATAGTGTGTGAATCGGTAGTTTCCTGTTCATTCACTATATATGTGATCTTTTGTCTTAGATTATTAAAGTAACTTTTAAAACAAATCTTATACTCCATCCGATCCTAGGTTATACATTTTTAATTGACGAAAAAATTTTAAAAATATTTCATAACAATCAAGAAAACACAACGAATATGAAAATATATTTTTAAATTTTTTTTGTCAATAAAAAATACATATTAAGTGAAACATAAGACGAAATCAAAATGCCTTATAAGTCAAGTGTTTGTATGTTTAAAATTCAAGCTAAAAAATTGTTTTGAGATGAAGAGAGTAACTCTTTTATTTTGAAAATATAAGTCATGTTAACATACATCAAATTTGGAGTGGATGTATGTTTCTTTTACTTATTCTAGTTTTCTTCTAGTTTAATTGTAGTTTTTTTTTTTGGACAAAATAAAGAAGTCCTATTCATGATGCTTATCGCTACGTATATCCTGTTTTCTTTTCACTATTAATTAAATCGGTGATGTGTTTTCTTGATTTTGTCATAAAATGCCACACAGTTGACGAAAAAAAATAAAATCTTAACCTACTCCGATAAAATAATCACGAGTTCTTCAAAGATTCTTCGTTTTTTTCACTTTACATTCTATATTTATATATGATAACAGAAAACCAAAAATTAACTCTTCAATTGGAAATATAGTAAGGTTTTAGCAAGATTCAGGGACTTGGGTCAGATTTTTGATTGACGCATGCGAATGACGTCCAATTCCCATCCCTGCGTCACTGTTATTATTTTCTTAAAAGTATTACGAATCTTAAGAACACCACTATGATACAGTGAAATTGAGAATTAATATTTTATCCCTTTCATTTTAATAATCTATACTAGTTGTGGGCCCGTGCGTTGTCCGGATTGTGGAAATATTTCGGCATAATTAGTGCAGGAAAAAAACTTGATAAAAAGTGAATAATAAAAACACGACACATATATCTTTAAAATTTTAGATAAAAAAAAAAGATTTCAAATAGTAAGTAAATACAAAAATCTGTAATGGCCAGACATTTTTTCTTTATTATGATTAAATGTGGTAACACATATGTAATATGTTAGAACATATAAAAGGGCACGACATCTTTATTATGATGTATGGTCTCATTTATACATCCTTAGCAACACAGTCATCTCATCAATCTGCAACACAAAGTTATTGTAGAAAAAAAAAAGGATGAACTACCTGAAGTGACTAATTCACCTTTCAAACGGGACGAAAATTGACTTTGCTTATGCACCAGACTGCTGTCACGACCTCTAATTTAGGTTATTTATATTACATAAGATAACTATGGTTGTAGGGTTTAACATGTTATGGATATTTTTGGTAAATATTTTATATGAGTAATTATATGATTTTGTGGATAGGTTAAAACTTTAGACTTTACTGATAGAATTTGGAGCAATTAATTAACATATTTGGGGAGTTTGTGAATATGGACAGAATATTATTCTGGTTAATTTACCCATAATTTTTAAAATAAATTTCATTTATTATTTTTCGGATGTGGGAAGGAATTAGGGTGATCAATTTAAATCTCATTATTTTCGAATTTTTAAAATCATATCATGATGTGCCATAAATTTGGAAGTCATATTTGGAAATGATATTTATTGTACTTTTTTGAAAATTCTGAAAGCGTTTAGAAACGTTTCAAAATCACGGTTGATGTGCCATACGTTCGGACCATGTTCAATGTTAACTAATTATTATGTTTTTTATTTACCTTGATTAATGAAATATATATGAGTAAATAAGTTAAATTAAATAGTTACTAATTTTTTTTACTATATCTAATTAAGCTTGATTTTTATGATTGTTTAATTGGACATCTCATTATGTGACACATGTCCAAAAAACTTATTCTTTTAATATATATGATTGTCGTGTTGAAATAAGTGGACGAATATCAATTGTAGGGAGGGAGTATTTGTTAATTGTATGAGTACTTGATCAATGTCATGTATCTCTATAATTTAAGAAGTAAGAGCATATATTATATATACTCCCTCTGTCCCAAAATTATTATCCAGTTTGAGATTTCAGTTTTAATATAATTTGAATTAGAAATGAAAACACAAACTGGACAATAATTATGGTACGGAGAGAGTATATACTTATGTGGACAGAATCATACTCACATTGCATAACGACCATGGATGCATGTAATCAAGTTTTATAAAATATTCTAGAGATTGCTAGTCAATTAATACTACGTATAGGAGTAGTTAATTTTATAATATGTACATATTTGAGTACTATATGCAAAATATATAACCTAAGAAATGCAGAAATTAAGGGGGACAAATCTATATTAAAAGTATCAAAATGTAGTTTGAACTTTGAATATGAATTACTTTAGAAACGAAATGTGTCCCCTTAGCGATTTTATGATGAGTCTTATACCAAAAATCATATCCAAAGATTTCTTTTTTGTGTTTTAGATGTACAAGTATTTTAAACGGAGCTCTCTGACCACAGTCGAACATTGCCTCGTGTGCCTTGTCCAGTTTAAAACGACGAAACTAAGATAATCACTCACTAGTGGGGCAAATCAACTTGCATGAACTAATTAGTGTGCCAAATCATCCAGCTAAGAATTTGTGA